CTCTTTCCCCAGCTTCAATAATGTCAACATACTTGACATTACTTCAGGTCAGGCTCACCCTTGATTTCTCTTTGGTATTCTACACAAACAGGTGCCTTTTGATAGTCTACTTGTGGCTGCTTCTTAAAAGACCAAGGAAAGCCTTTAGGGGCAAGGTTTATGACGTTAAAAGTCTAGATTCTGGGACGGTTAGGAAACCTGGCATGTTGCATTTTCTTGTATGAAAGTCAGAATTTAGCTTTATAAAAAGGGACACCAAACACAAACATATTGCATTAAATGTGTGAAAAGCCTAAAAAGGGAACAGAAGGGCAGAGTTTAAACAAAATGTAGGAGACTGAAAGTTGCATTTACTGAGAGAGCAGATACAATATAAACATCTGCAGTACAAGCTTCTCTAATACTGCCCAACCAATATACCTAAACCCTGCCTTGGAGGGACCAATTTTAAGGATGGGTAGTATACTCTTCATACTTATTAAGTATCTCATCTTTCTGACAATAGTTTTACTTTTTCAAATGAGGATGCCAAAAATTTAGTCTCTAAGGAAGAAAAAATAACTTGTCAAAAGCATAAAGAATTCCAACCAAACCCCTATGAAAGAGAAAGAGGCAGTTATGTCTTGAACAAAAATAAACTCTCAAACTCAGGCTTTATGCCAAACTGCCATCTGCAGGGAAGTTTTCTGACAGTCTCCGCCCCTCCAAAAAGAAAGATTTGTAATGGAAACGTAGACACGAGCCTCACTATAGCAGGGATTGAGGAGCAGATGCTGAATGCCACAAAAATAGTTAATTTTTGCCTTCCATCTGTACTTTGGCAGTGAGGGAAACTAAAATAAATCCCCTGCCTTAATCACCAGCTGGGGTTACAGAAATTTGTTTAGATCACGACATGACACCACTTACCAAGCAGATCAGTTTTTCCCATTTTTGCCTGGGTCATCATGTCTTTTTACTAATAAAAGTAAAATCAATAGGATATTTAATTGTGTCTGCATCTTAACAAAAAGTCTGGAGAACATCAGTGACATATGCGATACTCTTCTGTGCACTTTCATCCCAGTTTCTCAGATCAGTGGAGTCTTTATGTATATGTCCTTTCGAAAGCCTCTAACCCACTGTTACAAAACGGCTTCCTTTGTTCTGAGACAGGGCTGTTCTTTGTTCCTTGAGGATCCCAAAGCGCTCATTCAAAGTAATTCCAGTCTGCAAAACAAAATAATTTCAGTATAAAGCTTGAAAAATATTAGACTGATCTGTTACAACAACAAAGTTAAGACATTGAGAATATCTGTCTAGTTCTACTCAGTTGTTTTTCCTCTACTGAAACAGGCATCTGAGTTGTATGTAAACAAACATTGAAGAGAAGTTAGGTTTGTTTTCCTTCTTTTTGAAATATTTAAAAACAAGTAGAACCACCACCATATAAGATGCAAGAACATTAATTTAGTGTTAAGCTGCAAGACCAGTTAGGAAATGCAAAAAATTAAGGTAAAAAATGCTGAAAAATGGAACTTTTACTCCTCAGATCTGTTCTCCATATTTATTAAATTACATCTGCCAACTTGAATGATTAATACAAGTTTTTACTATTTTATACTCATGGGCTGTGTCTACATTAGCATCCCTTTTCCAGAAAAGGGTGCCAATGAGACCAGTCGGAGTTGGGAAAATTTAAATCCCCGGGGCATTTGCAACTCCGACTGGTCTCATTAGCATCCCTTTTCCAGAAAAGGGTGCCAATATAGATACAGCCATGTTGTTTTAGAGCCCACACAGTTGAGGGGGAAAACTGGATTCTATTCTAGCTAACAATTCACTTACTGGAGTTGGTGCACAAGAACACTTGCAATATTCAGTATGTATGAGGATTCCCAAAAGGAAGGAACTCAGCATGACCATCTTATTCTAGGTAACAGGGAGTCCATTTGAAAAAAACAGCTTTATTTGTAAAGCAAGATTTAACCTGGAACCACTGAATGTCACATAACACAATGACATTTTTACAGGGTATTTTCACAGCATGATTTTAGTTTCACTGCCTGAAACACTGATGAGCTAACACTAGTCTGAACTTTTACTTATGTATTTTCTGGTATTCTGAATGTCATTCAGTCTCCTCCGTATTTGTTTTCCTCTTTCCTTAAGACGCAGCTGTTGCATAACTGTAGAGTGATGTAATTCCGTCTGGCAACTTTGTTAGACACAAAAAGCCCACATTCTGAAACCATGAAATTGCACAATTTTGTTTTCCCCAAATGTCAGATTTTGATCTGTTCCACTCTGTAAACTTAGGCGTCACGGTACTATGACGCTGCACATAAGACCACTGCGCTACACAACTATTACGTTTTTAAATCCTATGTGAGGTAGACAGGCAGAACAGATTTTTTTAACGGGTAGGAAAAAGCATGAACAGGGAGGTTAGGTACGTGTCCAGAGTTGTACAGCAAGCTAATGCCAAAACAGGAAGCAGAATCAATAAGCCTAACTGCAAGTCCCCTTGTTTAGCCCTAGATAACGCTATTAACAAGGAATACCATACACCCCTTTTATTTATATGTTGAATAACCCCAAGTAAGTGTTAGGAAACAGCTTTTACCTGTTTTCCAACACTGTTGATATCAAACTGCAATGTAACTCCTTTGGGAATTTTCTTCTCTTCTGGTTGGTCCCTCTTCATTAGAAATGGTGGCATAGGAATATGAGTTAATCGTGGCTTCTGAGAACTGAAAGATGACTTTTTTTAATGGCAGATTGAATAAAGATTTATGTAACAATAATCAAGTGTTACAAAGATGAACTATGAAAAAAACAAGTGTCTATACTTCCAAGTGAACTGCTAATTTCTCAATAAAAGGAAGAATTATTAGAATATGGTTGAAATACTGACTGGGTGGTTGGGAGTGTTTGATAGTAAGTAGACACAGGGTATAACCATTCATGACTTCACTAAAAACAAGTATCTATCCACCGATTAAATGGACTGAAAAACAGAGCAGTAGAATTGGCAGTCATTCAGACTTGGTGAGGGGAACTCAGCGTAGTTCTGATAGGATAGAGGTAGCAGGTGAAAATTTATCCACCTAGGAATTCTAAACTGCCACACAAACTTTTCAATCCAAGCCCACATCAATCTCTTCATTTGGCAATTTCAGGTACATCCCAACAATTACACATTATCGGAACACAGATAGAGAAAAAGAATGGGCCTGATCTTGCAAAGCCTCCACAGAGTTCCCGTTCAAGTCATGGGGAGCTCTAAGTATGGAGAACTTTCTTCAATGGTCCCAGAAACAATAACTGGAATTATGAAGGAAGAAGATTGGAATGTTCTACTCACATTGGGGATGGAGTTGCTCCAGGGTTGTCAATAGATACAGTCAGAATTCCTCCGTTTGTAGTGGAAGTTCGCCATCTAGTTTGAAAGCACAGGAATCGCTGAAATCCCGGCATACCATTTGGGCTTTACATGAAATGCATGTTCCTGACTAGCCACTATTTTTAAAATTTGTCAGAACTCTAAAAAGAGAGTTTTCAGAATACAGGGTGCTATACAAAGACTACACACAAACAGACAAGCTACATATCTATATGGACCATTAGCAAACAGAGGATTTGCATGGATACAAAATTAGGGATTTAGATTAATTGGCTAATCAAATACTTGATGCATCGACTACTCAATTAACTGATAAGGGCGCCTCTGCCTTTAAAGTTTAACAGCCCCAAGGCTGTTGCTATACTTCAAAGCTGAGTGCTGTGGGGAGCATGGCGCCAGCAGGGGACTCAAGCAGTCCCCAGCTGGCCCCGGGATGAATGTGGGGATTCTAAGTGGCAGCACCACATGGAGCCCAGGATCTGGCCTACTGCTACTTTGAAGCACCCCTTCCTCTGCCTCCCTTCTCTCCCCCCCCCTTCCGATGGAGGCAACAAGGGGGACAGGGGGAGAAGCAACTAGTCGTTCACATCCCTATACAAAATATGTATCCGTATCCATACGTACAAAAATGAGCTGCGGATATTTGCATCTATATAAACTGAGCACAGGCATTTGAAGCCATGATGTTGTTTCACTATTCAGAGGAGTTCTTGCAGACTGCCATTATGTAATCTACCCTAGCATTTCAATAATTGCTAGAGCAGTAGTGGGAGTTTCTGAAAACATTCGGTGTAGGTAAGGCAATCTGGGTGGGCCGAATCCAGCTCTGTCATTCTGTGGCCCAGTGGGAGCCTCAGCAGGCTTCCTGCCTGCCATGTCCACACACACTGCTCAAGCAGCTGGCTGCAGAGGCCACGTGCATCTATGCACACTGCACCCCAGGGTGGGAGAGGGGATGTCGCATGATGCCCCCATCCCTAGCACAATCTCGCAGCTCCCATTGGCCAGAAACCAACCAGAGCTGCCTGACTGTGCTTATATGGCTGTGCTTGCCATATAGGCAGTACATGGAGGGCCCCGCCCAGCGCATAGCACATAGCGAGCACATAGCCCCCGCAATTTGAGTGTTATCCAGGGACACAACAGGTAGGGAGCCTGCCTGAGGAGCCTGCTGGGCTGCTGTCCAGGAGCCACTTAGGTAAGCACCCCCTCACTCCCCAAAACCTCTGCTTCTTCTGCACCTCTGCCCCAGGTCACAACCCTAATCCTCTGCACCCCTGCTCCTACACACGTACTCTCTTCCCAGATGGTGCATCCCAATCCCCTGCCCCAGGTGATAACCCAAAACTCCTGCAGCCCTGCTTCAGGTAACACCCCCTTCCCAGACCCTGCACCCCCTCCCGTAGCCATACCTCCTCCCACACCCTGCACCCAGGACCCCAATTCTCTGCCCCAGGTCACAACCCCTTCCTTCACCTAAACTCCCTCCAAGACCTTATACCCTCTCCTACACCCCAGTCTTATCTCAAGCTCCCTTCTGCAACCAACCCTCCTTACAGACTCCACACCTCCTACATTAATATCATGGAAGAGTGCAGCCCTTGACCACTTACCAAATTCTCCGAGTGCCCCTCACCTCCCCCATCAAAATGATTGCCCACCCCTGAGATAAGAACATAGTTAACGACCATGTTGGGTCAGGCCAAAGGTTCATCTAGTATCCTATCTTCTGACAGCCAATATGATCCATCAAATTTAATAGCGAGTCTGAAATTCTGTGACATATGATACTCCCATACGAGCTGTCTAGTCTTCCTACTATTGCTTGCCAACCCTTTTGCATATCCACAAAGAGCTTGGGAAGTGAAGATTCCCTCTTTCTTGACAGGATGCCAATTTTAACTCCCTTTTCACACATAAGCCTGGCAAGTGGCCTCTCTTACTGATTTTAAAACTGTTTTGTAGGCACTGGGTTTATAAATTAGGCATAGTAGCTGCCACAGCCACCAGGTTCTTAATACATTTAAAAGGCCAAAGTGTAGCGGGGGAGGAGAGGGGAACCAGGCACAAGCCACGACAGCTGATTCCCGGCTCACACCTGGGTCGTCCTCCCCCCCTCCCCCCGCAGTTCTTCTGCTTTTTAAACGTATTAAGAGCTTGGTGGCTCTTAATACATTTAAAAAGCAGAGGCATGGCATCTGGGACTGGGCCAAATTTCAAAATAACCCGCTATCCCAAAACGTCCCTTACTCCTTGTGGAATGAGGTTTACAGGGATGTTGGAATAGCGAGCCCATTATATTTCGAAATAATGGGCTTGCTGTGAAGACGCGGGATAGCTATTTTGGGATACTCCGGTATCCCGAAATAGAGCTGTAGCGTAGACATAGCCATATTGTGCAAGTGATCCCTCCAGTTCAACTAAGAGCAGCTGTAGGAAGTAAGGAGGCAGGTGGGAGGGGGGAAGGGATAAACACAGTTTCCTGCACATAGTACATCAACCAAATTCACATCAGTACTCATCTCAGAAGTCATCAAGAGAAGGTTCCAGTTGCCACAACAGGAACAAGGTACAGTCCTCTGGCTATAGAAGGACTAAACCAAAGTGGTTAAGATGTATAAGGCCTTAACTGCAGCTCTTGAGCTGAAATATGGCACTTACTGGCGAGACCTCTTTGTTGCCTGATTATCTAGAAGTTCTTCTACCGGCTGCACTTGTGCCTGCACCTGAAAACACAGAAAGATAGGTGCAGGATTTGAAAACTGTTTCACTTTCTGATCTTGCAATATTAGGTTAAAACATGAACAACAATTTATGAATCCATCATAGTATGTACACCAAAAACAGATACACAATTTCAGTGCTGTTCAACTGCAGAGGGTCATATCTTAGGCCCCAGTCACTCTCATGTTCCCTTAGAATATAGCTATTTTTATAGAGAGATTAAAATGAAAAAATTGACCATAAAATGTAACCCAAGACAACAGATAGGGATGAGGGATACTCCATCCAGTCTAAGATCCAGGCAGGATGGAAGTTTACTCACACATAGGGCTGGAGTAGAGAATAGAGCGTCACAAACTGTGTTGCGGTAATAAGCACAAGGGGCTGTAGAGCACATGGCTACAGCGTGTGCAGGGGCGGAGCAGGCAGAGAGGCTGATTCAGGAACCACTGCTGGCTGGTAGGTCTCCTGGCAGAGCCTACCTCTAGCACCCTAGTCCCTCCCTTCCCGAACTCTCTGCCCCCCCACTCCTACCCCCTATTGCACATACCCAGATCTGGCACCCCAAATCACAGACCCTTTCCTGCCCTAGCTCACAACCCAAATCCCTGCCCTAGGTCACAATCCAATCCCTTCCATCCCAGTCTAGTGCCCCAGGTCACAACCGCCTCCTTCACCCAACCTCCATCCCAGACCCTGCACCTCCCACCATTAATATCATGGAAGAGTGCAGCTCTTGACCACTTTCCAAATTCTTGGAGTAGCCCCCCCAGCTTTAAAAGCCCATAGGAGCTACACAAGCTTGCCACTATCATGGAATACGCACACCAATTCCATACATCTCAAAATGATTCAGCAGTTTTTGGTGAACAGATTCACATATTGCTCTAAAAGTAATCTTTAACTCAAGATAGGACCAAGTTTTTCCTGGAAAGGTATGCTGCAAGGTCACCTGAAGTGCTGTTTTCTCAGAAATGAAAGAAAACACATCAAGTGAGTTTGAGAGTTGATCTAAGTAGTCTGATCCACCAAATGAGGGGCTGAGGAAGAAAATGACATTCAATTTTTACTCGAGTGCACAGTATTTTTTTTTTAATTGAAAAAATGTTTATTGTACCTTCAGACCCCTCCTGAAGAGGAATGTTGCTTGACGCATGTCTTTCTGCTGGCTTAGTTTATTTCCAATTCTGGCAAAAGCGGATGGTATATTACTCCTGTAACATTTTGCAATATAAAATCAGTATCATTATCAAAAAAATTTCTTTTTAGAGAAAAATAGAACAAGACAGGACAATGGCATCAAGGTACATACTCTACAATGCATCACTAAAAAGAAGTGTCACACAGTAGCTTCATTTAGAGACTGAGCCTTTTAACTTAGTTTGTCCCAAACTAAGTATTTAAATGGGGATAGAGCAGGTTAAAAAGATCAATGCAAATTTAATAAGACACATGGAGTTGTAATGGCTACAGGAGAAACAGTGCCTTAGACCACTTTTTAGTCTCTCAGGTGCATCCTATAGGTGACAGGACTGACTTCCTGCACCTCGTTTTAGGTGGAACCACTCAGTCTGCATCTCTGGACTACAGCCCTCCTCCTATCCCCCCCAGTGCCCAACCATGTCAATGACAGAGGTAACTCAGGTTTGATACCTGTGAGAGTTTCTCTCTTCAGAAACCTGTGACAGCATATTATGCATGGGCACAAAAACAGTGTCTTCAAAACAAACCATTGTTAATTAATTCCTCAAAAGGTATTTAGGAAAATGGGCTCAAAATGAAAGTGCTAGGTGCATGCCTTCTTACCTAAGCTTAACCTTGCTATTCTTAGCCCAAAGTGGTCCAGCTTATCTCCACATCGGAGTTGATTTGGAAGAAGCCATCTGCTCTGCTCAAAGCCACATACACCCTCTGTTTCTGTGTTTGTCAATAATAGGTGTTGGGTCTTCTCTGCTGACAACAGGTTTCCCCCCGCTTCTTCCAGGGTTATATTGCCCCACTCTTGGTGTGGAGGCCCTCCAGGAGGTCCAAAATGAGTGAACTCTGAAGGGAGGCTCACAGAAAGATTGGTTCTAGAAGTTGGTGGTGCCTTGGGCTTAATCCCTCAGAATGTAACTCCCAAGAAGGGCTGTCACAATGAAGAAGGTTCCCCACAGGGACCATAGGGAGCTGAGAGCATGGCACCTGTGAATCCATGACAACATGGTAGCAAGGATGGTTGGCAAATGCAATATGAGCTTACTATCTCCCTGCTTTGCTCACGACAAAGCCAGGATGAGTTACTTCTCCCATGTGGATGGGGACCAACCATGGGTCCCACTCTGATCCACATGGGAGAGGTTGTGACCAAAGCTAGGAGCTGACTGTCTACTCTCACTGTTTGGGATTTCCTTTGATCCTATGCTCAGCCGTACAAAATTCTAGCCTGGCCTAGAGCCAGACAGAGGGGGTATTACCCAACAAACAGCTTTTCCTTTGTCTCTTCCAGGATTCTTATGTGTGTCATTGTATTATTTGCTGTTTCTCCTTGAACAGCCCACTTAGATTTAAACCCTAAAAGTAAGGCAGGTTGATATCAACTGATAACCTGAAGTACGTATGACATTTATTGATTTACTGACTCACTCAAGAGCCTAGCAAACTTCCAGTTTGTGTATTTACACTTGCTTAACTACCTTGCTTGTGCTGTTGCCCACACAAGCAATGCACTATATACAGTACTCTGCAAATATTAATGCGGCCACAAACTGCTAATTAGGTAGGGGAAATGGAGATTCAGTGCAGCTTCACAAAATCCACACAACTGTCCGAGCCAGTACCAAATCAAGAATTCCTAGCTCTCAGTCTTGTGCCTCAGCTGTGAATCCTTTTGAAATGGTATCTCGAAAGATTAGTGTACCAATACAAGTCAATATTTTAATTCAGCTGTGCCCTCAATAAAGAAAATACGTATTTAAGTGAGCGTTGAATGATAATAAAATTGCTTAAGTCAGCATTTCTCAAACTGATTAACTTGGGGGGGGAAGGTCGCAGCTGGATTCACTTGCAACCCCTCTCTCCCGGGCCGCGAAGAGCGGCGGAAGGCAGCCGTCGGCAAGCCGTGCAGCGTGGCTGGGGCTGCGGGACTCCAGGAGCGCAACTCAACTGCAGCAGGAGGCAAGGCAGCAGGGAGAGTGAAGCCGGCACTGGCGCAGGAGCGGAGAGGTGAGGAGCTGGCCAGGGCACGGTTGCCGGGTGACCGAACACTTCCAGCCTGGAGAGGGCGGGGTCCCTCATGCAGCGGGATGGGGACTGGATCAGGGCAGAGGACCCAGAGGTAAATAAGGGTATGTGGGGGTCAGAGGAGGAGGCAGAGAAGACACAGGAGAGGAGAGAAGGACGGAGGGGAGGAGAGGAGAAAGAGAAGGCACCAAAGGGATGCAGAGCAGAAAAAAAGAGGCACAGAAGAGAAAGACGGGGGAAGAAGCGTGCGGGGGGGGGGGGGAAGGGTGTTGAGGACCGCAAATGCCTTGAAGGAACCCCAGGAGGGCAAGGAGTCTGGTGAGAAGGGGAGAGGAAGTGACCCAGGGCAGTGGGGTGTCACAAATTCATTTAGCATTTTAGGGGGTCGTGGTATCACAAAGTTTGAGAACCCCTGGCTTAAGTTATTATGGTCTAATTGTCAAAACCATTTAGGAAGACTGTAGCAGATTCTTTTTAAAATGATGGAAATTTGGAGACTTCTAAGAACATCTAAGTTATGCACTCCTGAACAAAAGAGGCCATATGGATGGAGAATGGGGGGAGGAGGGGCAAAACCAACCAACCAAACAACAAACAAGTGATTAACAAAGGTTAGGTTGATTTTCTTAGTTGGAATCAGCCTAGTCATCTAATGGAGAGAGTGCTACCACCAATATTTGGATAGAAATAGAAAGTTATCCAAGAAATATTCTACCCCTAAAACAAAAATTTAGTCTTATGCAGCTCATGATTGCACTAGGGATGTTAGAAAGCGAGTAATCAGCCAATCGTGTAGTCAGAGTTTCCATTGACTACCCGATAAGGAAGGAAACCTCCAGGAGTCATCGCCCACTGTGGCTCTGCAGTTAAAATGTAGTTAAGAGTCAGGCAGGCAAGATCCTGGGCCTGGCACAAGCCAAGATTGAGCCAGGATTGCTAAGCCCCAGCTCACGTTGGGTCCAGCAACCCCTGTCCATGGGGGGTCCTAGCAATAAGCTGGGACCCCCACAAACAGAGACTACTCTGGCAGCAGCCCCTGTTTGCAGCCAGCCCTAGCTGCTGTTGGCGAACAGGGGCTGCTCCAGACAAAGCAGCCTCTGTTCGGGGCCAGGGGCTGTGCTGCAGGATGCAGAGCAGCCTGGGCCCACCACGGGCAGGGGCTATATTGTGGCAGCCTCCCCTTTCTTCCCTCGCCTGGCGCTGCTGGCTGATACGAGGCAGAAGTGTACGGGGGTAGGGAGATGGCTCTCCCTCAGCACCAGCTCCCGCTCCCCCCCTCCTGCTGCCTCTGATACAGAGGCAGTGGGGGAGAGGGTGCGAGTAGTCGACTATTAGCTTACATCCCTAGATTGCACAGTCCACATATTTAGCTTTTCCACTTGAACAGGATAGAAGAAGTGAATGTTTTATTTTGGCCAGAACCAGAGGACCCTTGTCCACATACAAAAGTTGAATGGACAAACCCCCACATCATTTGACTCACAACAGAGTGAGACTACACAATAGTCACTGTAGCTGACTACATTAGAATGTCCTACTCTCAATGGAAAGTTTGCAGTTTTACACAAACTTAGGATACAAAAGGGCAAACGTCTGATTCCCAGGAGCTGGGACTGGACAAAAAGGGATAATCGTTCAAAAACCATCATGTTCTATTCATCCCCCCCCAAGCATCTGGCATCAGCCACTGGACTAGACAGACCATTATTCTAACCCACTCTGGTTGTTCTTAAGTGAGCCAGACAATTAATGAGAATCTCACCAATAGCTATGGGGCAATGTTTAATATTTAGTGTGCACAATATTGTCTTGTATGATAAACTATTTTTAAAATAGAAGCATAAGCCACCTCTTATCTGCGGTTTAACAAAAACCATTGGAATAATTTCAGAGCAAACAAAGCACACTACAGTTTTCATGAAACTGAACATGGCAGTAGTTCCCATAAAAGGGTCTTATGGTTAGAGCTTAACTCCATGCATTAGCCATTTTTCTAGAGCTGGAACACGCATGCTACATATTTCTGATAAATGAAGATAGAGAACCAGGTATAATCCCATCATCAGAGCACACAAATCATGGTATTGCATGAGGGCTACTAACTGTACAAGATTAACTGTATCCTCCTATGCTGCCACTCTTAAGTCTCTTGATCCCATGCCAGCACTGCCAGACACAGAATTCTTCATCGTTATCAAAGGGGTTAGCTGGAAAAAGCATCTCAAAACCACATCGTTATAAATCTCACCTCCTGTTTAATGGGACAGGCCTCCTGAGAGCTGGCATTTGTTTTCTCTGCAATTCAAACTGCCTTTGAAGGGTTGTTTTCCTTTTCAAAACTGGGTAGTTTCGCTGTGTGTTCATTATAAATAAAGAAAATTACTAAATATCCAAGTAATAGTTATTTAGATTATGCCCTTTCATAACTCGTTCAAATGTAATAATATTAGCCTAACCATCTCATGGATTACTTCACTGATGCTAATGGATTGACACTTATGCCATGAACAGTTTTACCTCTGTTCTAAGATTATGTATTCCCTTCCTCCAAGCCTCCCCCCCTCAGACCTCAAAAAACTGCCCAAATTTAGACAATGACCAATGTCCAAGACCTGTTACAAGTTGTAATTCAGAGAAAATACTTAAGCATAACTTGTATACATCTGAAGATATACACTACAGGAAGTTCTAGGATCCTTAGTCACCCTGGTTTCGGCAAACTTTGGCTGAAGAGGTCACCCCAATTCAACCATATTTTCTTAACTGTTGATTCTCCGTATGTGTAAAACACTTCTTTCCCCTTAGAAAGGGCTTGTTCCCCCTCCTGCCTGAATCCTGTAAGAACACCACAGTCCGCTGTGATGTCAGGAATCACTTGCATGATTTTGATGAATTCCATATTCTAGCGTACTTGCCACAAGACGAGCACACAGCCTGGCCTAAGTCAACTCAAATTTAGAACTTTGTTAAGTTTTAAAAAAATCTACTACATTTGTCTAAGATTTGGTATATTTCGTCCTGGACCTGTGCCTGACAATTTCTGTTACTCATTACTTGGTTTAATAGATTTAGAGAGTCTGCTGCTTGATGGAGTTCCAGGACTAGGTACAAATTCTGTATGTCACTGTAGAGAGAATCTCAGGTTTCATATGGCAGAATGTTTCTATTCTTAATTTCTGCACATCACAAGAAAGCAGAGATTAACAGTCCCATTCTGATTACTCTTCTTACTTGCCCACCTGTAACTGTGCTAGAATTCAAATAATTTCAGATATGATATTCCAAAATACCTTCATATGGTACAAATCACTACATTCTGGCTTTAAGTTTTTGTGATTATAAGCTCTAAACCCAAGTCAAATCTGGAGCAGAATGGGGGGAAGTAAGCTAGGATTTAGAGTTAGGCTATTTTAATATAACGTTATGAGCTAGTAATATAACAGTAAAAATGCATTCAGAACTAGTAAATTTTTCAAGTAACTGATCTTGGACAAGTTATGGCGACAAGATTTGCAATCCCTCATTTAATAGACAGGTTTCACCAGGTACTTATATCAATGTATTTATAGTTTAACTATCACATTTTAAAAACTAACCATACTGCATCTTTTATAGTCTGCTTGTCTCTCAATTACTCAATTCTTACTTGTGGAATTACTCTCCCATTGCCAAGCACAGATAGTTATACAAGACAGAAAAACTGTATTCCTACCTTCTCACTAAGTGGTTGTCTGTTCAGAGGACTTATCCCTCCACGTGAACCTAGTACTTTCCTGGCTGCCAAGCCAGTTATAACTCCATATGGCCGTTTCCTCCCTGTTACTCTCCTTCTGCGTCCCAAACGGTTCTTACCGAAACCTATTGGGGAAAAAAAGCAGTACTACTGAACTGTTTCCCAAGGACACACTGCAGTCAGTATTCCCTGTAAGCTGTGCACTTGTGACTACTCAGGAAAGATTCAAATGCTGCCCAGCTGATTAGCAGAGCACCCAAAGCTAGGTTTTTTGTTTCTACTGGTGGTGCACATGCCTCAGTCACACCATTTATTCTGCACATGGATGGAAAAGATTAGAGAAAACATTAACCACAGCCTATAACCATGGACACATGATACTCATTGTAACTGATCAGCTAGCTGTCAATGTAAGCTAGGGATGTTAGACACATTTTTCCTGACCATGAATTTGGTAGGTAGGGTTGTCAGGTGTCCGGTATTCTTTCCTCTGGTATTCTTTCACCCGGACAGTCTGGTATTTGAGGGATCCATCACGTTTAAAAAAAAACACCCACCACACAAAAAAACCCAGGAAATATTGGACATGTGAAATGTGCGGTATTTCCTGTTTCCCTAGGACAGAAGCCTGGCAGGGACAATTTTCCCCTGACACATCTGGCGGGGGCAGGGGTGAGAGGAGCACAGAACAGCCGTAGTGAAGAAGGACAGAAGGGGGCAGTTGTTGGGCGTCACACTAGGGGGGGCGCTGGGCTGGGGTGGGAGCGGAGTGCATGCTGCTCTGGCCCACGTGACCAGCAGAGACCTGGGAGCTGGCCATGTAATGCCTCCCTCTACACAGTGTGAGCTGAGGCAGCCAGCAGGAGCAGCAACTCTAAAAGTAAAATTAACTTACCCAGTGGTCCCTTTCCTCCAGTGCCTGGCTCTGGGGTGGGGGGGAGTGGGCG